TTTTTTTTTTTTTAATTTTTTTTTTTTTTTTTTTTTGGTTTTTATATTATATATCTCTTAATCGTTTCACTTTTGTTTTTATGCTTGGTGTAACTTGTGTAATTATCGGTGTAATTTTATTTGCATGGTATAGTTTACAATTGGACGAGATTATTCAAAGTGTATAATAAGTGTATCTCCCTGTGTAAATTTGTATCGAAGATCGTATTGTTCTCGTTGTATCGCAGAAAAATTTGTGTGTAATTGAAAATGTCTATATGTACGTGTATGTGTATGTGTGTGTGTGTATCGTGTATAGAACAATTGTACGGATTAGAAAGTGATACAATTAAAAAGAACGTTCGTTAAAATCTAAAATTTGAATCGTTTTGGGCCACTCTATTCGTCCGCTTCCAAATACGGAACAGTTAATATGTTTTATCACTAAATACAGACTGAACGTGAAACATTATCTCAAAATGATGAACGATCATTTATGCGCGAACAACTATTGCTGTTGGGTAAAGCGCAAACAGACTGAACTTTCTACGTGAACATTAGTGAACCATGTTGCGTTCAAGCCCGCGTACTATATTTCCTAATAGTTGTATAATCATTCTCGTACAACATGGTCCATTAATTGCAAAACGGCTTAAATACGCTTGATTATGTCGAATTTGCTCGCAGTGGCGTCTTCGTTAAATTATTACTCGATATTGCTGTTATTCTCTACGAAATATCGTATGATCTAATTTCGCGATTACTTTAACTTTTGTTTAACGCGAGGTGGTCGAAGTTGAAAAAACGATATTTAAAAAAATATAAATACGGAAACGAGATAATTAACGAAAATTGTCTTGCATCTCGTGTGGAAATAAAATGATAAAATAAGATATCCCTTTATATGCTTTTTTACACATTCTGTAGAAAAAAACAATAATTTTCATAATAATGATAGTTATTAACGATATATAACATGTACAATGGAAACATCACTTATAACCTCTACTTGCACTCGAGTGCCGATAAGACTTAAATATTATAAAGTGATTTTGCTATTATAATTCATTGCACCCATTTTCAATATATCATTGTATACGTGTGTTTGCGCATACCTATCGCAACGAAGATATTTGTCAGTCGTGTGCTTCTGATTTCCAAGTTCACTATTCAATCACGGAATGACAATAATCGATTATTCACTTGATTAACATCTTCCTCGCACTCTCTTTACAATACATTTTTTCCATTCTTCTACCCTCTTCTCACGCTGTGTATATTATTTATATTTATATTTATATTTTTTTCAATTATCGTTAATTATTACTTATTATTTATACGCGTGTATATTTATATTTATATATTTATATATATACGTGTTGGTGTTTGTATGTGTTTCTATCATACGTGTACAATGTAGAAGTGTAGAATGTAGTACGTGTGAGCGTGTTAATTGCGCGACGAGTGATCGAGCTCGGTCGATGAGCATTATGATGACTTCTGATCTTTTACATCGCCATCATGCCCTACTCTTTCCTTCCAACCTTTCTTAT